CTGGGGGGCGCTGCTGGGGTGGGGAAGCCGACAGAGGGGGTGTCTCCACCTTAGCCTTGCCAGGCACCGCCAGCTGGCCCAGCCCCCCAGTGAAGGAGCGGGCCTGAGGTCCAGGGGAGGTGGGAGGTGGGCGGAGCCAGGAGGTGGGACCCTGAGACAGGCCTGGCTGTGGAGTAGGGGCACCCAGGCCCAAGCTGGCCAGCTCCAACCTGGAATCCAAAGATCTGCCACCAGCGCCCCCCGAGGCCCCTCGAATCCCCTCCAGGAGCCGGCCGAAGCTAGGGGGCTCCAGGTCTCTCTCGTAAACATCCACACACGTCCAACGGCCACGGCGATAAGGCTCTCCCAGGCCCTGGGGCAGCTTCACCACCCGGAAACGGGAGGCAGGGGCCCCAGGCGGCGGGGAGCCGTTCCGGGGGGTGCCCTTGCCTCCTGGCTCAGGGTTGGGCTCCCCATTGGGCAGGCGGGGTGGGGGCCCAGTGGGAGCTGGCAGGGCAGGGGCATCTGGACCCCCTGGGCTCCCGGGGCCCTCATAGTCCGTGGTGACGCTGGTGATTTGGAAACTACTCTTCTTCTTGCCCCCACTCATGGTCCCTGGGGCTCAGGACTGGGCCAAGGTGGGCGGGGGCGAGGCGGTGGTGGCTCTTCGAAGGGGCTCAGGCTCCCCTGGAACAGGGGGGCCACATGGCGGGGACGTCAGGGCCCCTGGGGACATCTGAGTCCGACATGGTGGGAGTGCCTTGCAGGAACTGGGGGTGCCTGGTTGGTGAAGGGAGAACAGGGTAGGGGAGGCGGCGGGAGGTGGGGGCAGGGGCAGGTTTTTCCTGCTGCTGTAGCTGCCGAACTCCAGAGCTGAGTTTGCAAACTGGAAAAAGAGAGAGAGAGAGAGAGAGAGTGTGTGTGTGTGTGTGTGTGAGAAAGCAGTGGGCAGGCCACCTCCGAGGCTTCCTCTCTGGGGAGCAGAATGGGGGAGGAAGGGGAAACCGCCAGAGACCCAGAGACAAAGAGACAGGCAGAGAGGACAGAGACCAGAGCGGAGGGCTCCTTCAGAGCCAGCGCATAGAGCAGCAAGAGGCAGCCCAGACCCAAAGTTGGGCATTTTTCGCCTGGGATTCAAACTCACGGGTCCCAAGTCCTCCCAAGAGCAAGGGCTCCAGGGCCTGGGTGAACAGGGGTGAAGCCGCTCCTCGGCCTATCCCGGCTGCCCCGACGCCTCTGCGGGTCCTCAAGGCCCCAGCACCCTAGATCCCCCATCCCTGGGGCAGGCCCTGCCCGCTGTCCCAGAGCCCCGCCCAACCCAAATCCCTACCTCTCGGTCTTAGCCACCAAGCCGGGGGTCTCGGCCACCTAAGATGTCGGGCTGTCCTTTCCCTGGGGCCTCCTGGCCCCAGCAGCGCGGGAGGAGCAGGCGGCTATCAGAGGCTGTCCAGTCCTCTTCGGGGGCCGCACCTTATCCCGCAAGGCATCCCTCCGTGGAAAGTTTGAGCTCCGGAAAAGAAGGAACTCCCGCCTCCTTGGTGGAACCCAGGCACGGCCTTTGAAGCCCCAAGTGTCTCTAGGCTGCTGCGGGAGGGGGAGGCTTAGCCTCCCGATCCTCCAGGTGGAGCCGCCTCGGTGGTCGGGGCGAGTGAGTCTCCCAAGTCTCTTCCCTCGTGGCACCGCTGGGTCTCTCCGCTGCTCGGCAACTCTCTGTTCTGTCTCTTTCTGGGCTGTTGACAACCCCCACACCAGGAAGTCCTGCCTCCTCCGGCCTGCTGACTGCTCCTCTCCTCCTCCTCCTTCCCCTCTCGCTCCCCTTCCTCCGCCCTCTCTCCCTCCTGGGGCTCCCGGCCAGCTGGCGCGGGGCCAGGCCTGCCACCGCTGCTGCTGGTGCAGTTGCCGCCGCTGCTGCTGCTGCTGCCGCTGCTGCTGCTGCTGCTCCTGGGGCCCCGACCAGGCTCCCTTAACCCCACACCTGCTGGGCCTTAGCTCAGCTCTTCCTCGGAGAAAGGGGCTGTGGAGGGCGGAGAGAAAGGGGAGGAGCCTGTAGGGCGTCCAGGGATTCCCTTGCGTGTAGGCACTTGCTGCCATTGGCCTGCAGACACACAGAAGAGTGGGAAGGAACCGACCTGGAGCTCTTCTGGTACCTGCCACCCCAATAAGCACCCAGTAAATGTTATGGTGCTGCTGCAGCTGTTATTGCCATAGCTTCACTGGTTTTCATAGTCACCGTATGAGGAAGGTACTGTTATCCTCCCCTGTACCTATTTTTAAAAGTGGATTATTATGAATATTATTATTATTACAACTTTCAAACATGCCCCACAGTAGACAGAATGGTATAATGGACTCCCAGGTATCCATCATGCAGTTTCAACAATTATCAACTCACAGCCAATCTTGTTTCATCTATACCCCCAATATCTTCTGTTGTACTGTATTTGAATCAAATCCCAGATATCGTATTATTCCTCTTCTTAGATGTGGAAATAGAGACCCAGGAGGTTCAGAAAGGCTGTCAGTGGTAGAGCAGAGACATTCCACACACTCAGGTATGTCCTTGTCTGGTCCCCATATAGAAAAATGTCACCTACACATGTACACACAATCACCCATACAGATACACCTGAGGACAAACCACTGGCCCCAAGCATGGCCCCTTCTCCCACCTCTCACCTGTGCCACCTCTCCCATCCTATCCCTTGCTCACTATGGAGAACCCACGCACACACTCCTAAAGTGCTGACCATGTGCTGGCGTGAAAGAATAAACCTCCATCTGCCATTGTCTCTTTTTTGGCACCCCAACCAACATTCTGAGAGGAATTATTTTAGCAAAAGCTACCTCTGCCTTCACTCTGGTTCAGAAAGAAATGGATTCTAATTAATTTTGATCAAACAGAACTGTTCTCATGTACATAAAAAATTCCTCATATTTGTCCACTTCACATTATCTCGTGGATTCTCAAAATAGCGCTGGGCAGAGGCGGCATGGGTTTTGAGCTCCAGTGTTTCCACTAAGGAAACTGAGGCTCAGATGCATTCAGTTACTTGCTCAACCTCAGAGCTAGTATTTGGTGGCAATGAGACTAGTGCTGGGCTGTCTGACATATCCCTCCTTCCTCGACTTTAGCTCATGGAAATTTTTAACCAACCTTTAGGATTAGGTGAAAACGAAATGATGCAAAGCCCCTTGCCCCCACTTTTATATATTTATCCTTTATCTGCTTGTTCAATTGCATCGGCACTCCTACCTCTCCCTTCATGGTAACAATGGCTGCCATAGCCAGGACCTGAGGCCTCCCAAGTGGTCGGTGGAAGCAGCCTCCCAGACTCACACCCCAACTCTCTCCCCTCTGGCAGTATTCATAGCACACCCCTGCTGCTCTGCTCCTAGATCCTCCTTCCTTCAGCGCTGATCAGTTACAAACTATTCAAAACCTATCTTTGGAAACTCTCCCCTTCCCATCATCGAAGACACTCAGCATTATCTTGGACTCCTCCGTGTCTACAGTCCCTGGGACTTTGTTGGTCTCTGAGGAAATGTTTGTTGAATCAGTAAGTAAAAATTAATTCACACTAAGGTGTAAAAGTGAAAGGACTGTTATGTGTTTTAATGTGTTACTTCTCCTGGGGGCATTTATAATAGCCCTTTAATGTATGGGGCCCTTTCCACTTAAAAGCACGTTGTAGTCATTACTGCCAACATTATTGAGGTAGGTATGCGACGAGACATCGCTCAGAGAGCTTGCCCCATTTGCCCAAAGCCACACAGCACATCTGCAAAGACTGCCATATAAAGGAACATTCACAGGTTCCAGGGATTAGGGCGTGGACATCTTTTGGGGTCCATTTTTCAACCAGTTAAGGGTAGAGCCGAGGTTTTTCTTGCAGCTAACGTGCGCCAAAGGGAATTCTGGGAGTGGAATTTCTTAGGGAGCTGATGGGAAACGTGATGCGAAATAGGGAGTGAGTCCCTCAGCGGCCCGGGTGATTGCAGTCAGACGTAGACTCAGGGCGCCCAGGTTCTGGCGGGCGCCGCCCCCATAGTCAAAGGTTACCGGGAAGATGACTTGGGCCGCGGGAGAGGGCGGGTGGAAGACTTTGAGCCCAGGTGGTGAAACAAGGTCCAGGCACCTGGGAGGACTGCAGGCATAGGCAACGAGTACCAAGCGAGCCAGGTCGGGTGCCCTCCACGCACCTAGGGGGCGGGGGAAAGGTGGGGCGCGGCCAAGGGCGCACGCCCCCTGCTGGGCAGGGACGCGGATGGTCCAGCTCCACATTCTCAGAGCCCCTCCGCCAGAAAGCGGCCCCCCCTGCTGGCCTAGTTGACTCACTGCACTCCGGGCTGTGCAGCCGCAGCCTCGCCCCGGCCGGACACGGGGTGCGCAGCCCGTGAGCGCCTTGTGCACGGGGGACCGGCGCCGGTGCAGGTCCCCAGCTGCCGCTGGGGGGCGCTGCTGCGTGCTGCGCCCCGCTTCTGTCCGCCGGGGCCTTGGACACTCAACCCGGCACGGCCGAGCCGGGCAGGAGCGAGAGGCGGCGAGAAGCGGATGCCCCAAAGAAGGGGTGGGCTGGCGCCGGGTCCCCCGCGGCCTACGACCTTTCTCCGAGTACTCCCGCGGACTCCGCGGCCCCGTACCCCTCACCCCAGTCTGGCGGCGCGGCGCGGCGCGGCCACTCCAGCTCTGTCCTTGGAGGGTGTGGAAGGGTGGGTTTGGGGCCGGGGGCGGGTCTGGGGGCGGACCCGGAGGCGGGGCTGTCTCTGCGGCAAGGCCCAGCTCAGCTCCCCCCCGCCACCCGGTCTCTCTCTGTCTCTCCTCCTCCCTCCTCCTGCTCCGGGCGGAGCCCGGCATGGGGGGGCCGGCGCCCGGCAGGCCAGGTACGGTGATGTAGAAATTGGGGAGGCTTGGTGCAGGGAGGTGGGATGGGGGAACCAGGGGCAGGGAGGATTCGCGGGGCGAGTGACGGAGAAATCCAGGGTAACAGGACAAGGGGAAGGGGAGGGTTGCCCGGGAACCTGGGGCCTTTGGATGGAGAGGGGGGTGAAGCCGGCTAGGTTTGGAACAAACAGGGAAGGGAGAGGACGGCAGTGAGGAGGGGCGCCTTGGACAAGAGGTGAGGCTGAGGCGCAGGAGAGTGTGTTTGGGGGAAGGGAAACCAGAGCAGGTATGGAGGCCGCCTCTCAGAAGGTAGCTATGGGGCTAGACTGAAGACCCCTGGGTGGGATTGAGGGGCGGTGACTGGAAGTGGGGAGCAGGTAGCCTCCCAGATCCTGGAGAAGGAAGAAGGCGATTTGGGCCATCAGTGAGGGAAGTGGAGATGATCGCTGAGGAGCCAGGGCTCAGGAAGAGGGGTGGACGAAGGCCGGGGCCCAGGCGAAAAAGTGGAAGGGAGGATGGCAGAGGATGGAGATATTTGGCTAGTGGTATTGTAGATGCCCAACTCAGAGTGCCCCCACCCTTTCTCCAGAATCCCCACCCTGCCCTCATGACACTTCCCCAGTCTCAGGGCCCAAAAAGGGGTGAGGAGTCTAACTGTCTCCCCCTTCCCAGTTGGGGTGCAATGTACGCAAGTAGGCCTGGGCATAACTCCTTGTCTGTGGGTATGTCCAGTTCTGTGCAGCCTATTTGTGTGTGTCTGTCTGGAGGTCTATGTGTGCTGTGGGTGTGTCTGATGTTTATGTCTGTGTGTCTGCCTGTTCCTAGGCTGTGTTTACCTATGCCGGTATATGTGTCTGGTCTTCTGTTCATATGGGTCTATGGCCCTGTGGTTTGTATGTCTGAATGTTTGTTTGTGGGGCCTGTGTGTATGTATCAGGCTGTATTTACAGGATGGAAATCTGTCGATCTGATCATTCAGGAGTGTGTAATTGTGGCCCTGAACACCTTTATCAGGATGTGTGACTGTGTACACATGTCCATCTATGTCTCTCTGTATGTCCTAGGGGCAGTGTTGGGTTTTCTGTGTCTCCATCTGTTTTCCACTCTCTGAGGACCCAAGTCATGTCTCTGTTCCTCTCTCTCTCTCTCTCTCTCTCTCTCTCTCTCTCTCTCTCCCTCTCTCTCATTCATTCCTGGCCCCCACCCACCCCACATCTTTCTTTTTTTCCTTCCCATCTTCCCAAGTGGATCCGGGACCCAGGGAGGGCCGTCCCCCGGGCCTGGTGGCACTGAGCAGGGCCCCCCAGCCCCCACCTCCTGCCCCACGACATGAACCTCCTCTACCGAAAAACCAAGCTGGAGTGGAGGCAACACAAGGAGGAGGAGGCCAAGAGGAGGTAAGGCTGCATCCCAGACTGCCCCCTCACCTGCCCACCTCTGCCTCCCCCTGGCTAGTCCACCTCCCTTCTGCCCTTCCTGGGTCCAACAACCTGGTCATCAGTCTGATCTCAGAGTCTGTGCTCAGCACAGAATTGCTGGAATGTCACACACCCTGTCCCCGCCCTGCTCCTGGCTCCAGCCCCTGTCCTGGCCTCTTGGGGGGCTTCCAGCTCAGGAGCACCCTGTTGGCTCTTCCACATCCTCAGAAGCACGAGTCACTCCTTCCTGACTCACCTTTGGCCTGCGGTCTTCTGCTCACTGTCAATTTGGGGCTGGCTTCTGGCTCCCCTGTCACCTGACCTTGGAAGGGGCAGGCCCTGCTGCCCTCATGGTCCAGGGATAGTGTCATTTGAGGGGCACCAGGAAAGATCCATTTGGCCCCCTCAGCCTCCTCTGCTGGAGGAGGTGAGTGGCCAAGTGACAGGGGTGTGTGTGTGTGTGTGTGTGTGTGTGTGTGTGTGTGTGTGTATTGGGGGACATGCGGGCTGGGCCCTACAGAAGAGTCAGGGCTGGGGATCCCTCCCTACTTGCCCTCTCTCCTTGCCCTCCCAGGGACCTGGGACCTGGCCTCCCCCATCTTGCTCCCTTCTCTTCACTTCCATTGACTGCACAGCCTCTTGGAGCCTGAGTCAGAGCCACCTCCCTGCTGCCTCCTTGCAACTGTGGAGTTTAATTCTTGTTGTTAATTAGATTAATCAGAACTATCACTGCAGTGATCTCTCCCTAATGAAGGGTTAGTAGACAGGGCCTTAATGAGAGCCCACCCCACAGCAGCTCTCTCCTCTTTCTTGTCAGCTGCCCCCCTCCTTCACTCATCCAGAAGCTCAGGGACAGTGAAGGGAATGGGGGTGAGTCTGGGAGGGTGACAGAGGACAGCACTGAGGGGTGGTGGAGAGAGAGAGAGAGAG